GACCCCCCCGGGGACCCCCCGGGACCCCCCAGTGACCCCCAGCCCCCTTTCTGCCCCCCAGATTTCTGCTCCTTCTACAACATCCTGAAGAACTGCCGCGGGCACAACACGGAGCGCTCGGTGTTCAGCGAGCGCACCGAGGAGTCCTCGGCCGTGCAGTACTTCCAGGTGGGGGCTTCTGCTCCCCTCCCCCTTTTTGGGGGGCTTGGGGGGTGTCCCCGGGCCGGGGGGGCTGACGGCGTGTCCGTGTGTCCGGCAGTTCTACGGGTACCTGTCCCAGCAGCAGAACATGATGCAGGACTACGTGCGCACGGGCACGTACCAGCGGGCGATCCTGCAGAACCACAGCGACTTCAAGGACAAGGTGGGGGGTTCTGCTCCTTTTGGGGGGGTGCAGCTCGTTTTGGGGGGATTTCAGCTCCTTTTGGGGCATTTCAGCTCGTTTTGGGGAGAATCCAGCTCGTTTTGGGGGGTTTCAGCTTGTTTTAGGGTGGAATCCAGCTCCTTTTGGGGGAAACTGGCTCCTTTTGGGGGAGATTCAGCTCTTTTTGGGGAGTTTCAGCTCATTTTTGGGGCTTTCAGCTCATTTCGGGGGGTTTCAGTTTGTTTTGGGGGGGGATCTGGCTCATTTTGGAGGGGATTCAGCTCATTTTGGGGGGATCCAGCTCATTTGGGGCGGGGTTTTGGGGTGAATCTGGCTGGCTTTTGGGTGGAATCTGGCTGGGTTTTGGGGTGAAATTTGGCTGGGTTTTGGGGTTGAATTTGGCTGGCTTTTGGCTGGAATTTTTCTGGGTTTTGGGGAGGAAATCTGGCTGGGTTTTGGGGTGGAATCTGGCTGGGTTTTGGGGTGGAATCTGGCTGGGTTTTGGCTGGAATTTTTCTGGGTTTTGGGGTGGGAATCTGGCTGGGTTTTGGGGTGGAATCTGGCTGGGTTTTGGCTGGAATCTGGCTGGGTTTTGGCTGGAATTTTTCTGGGTTTTGGGGTTGAATTTGGCTGGGTTTTGGGTGGAATCTGGCTGAGTTTTGGCTGGAATTTGGCTGGGTTTCGGGCAGGAATCTGCCTGCCTTTTGGGTGAAATCTCTGCATTTTGGGCCGCGTGCCGCTGGGTCCAGGTGCCAATCCCAACTGACCCTTTGGAGAACCCCATTTTTTGGCGAGCCTGTCTCACTCTGGCGACACCCCAGCCTGACTTTGGTTCCAAACCAGCCTGAACTGGGGGTCTGCCCCAGCCCCAGCAGCACAGCTCCACCCCAGAGCTGCAGTTTGGGTTTTTCCCCTCCTGGGCGAGCGGCCGCGCTCGGTGCCGGACCCCAGCCGGGATCTTTGGGCACCCCAATCCCCTGGGTCCCTGCGGGGGGCTCGGGGGGGTCCCAGCTGCCCCCATCCCCTCCCCAGATCGTGCTGGACGTGGGCTGTGGCTCGGGCATCCTCTCCTTCTTCGCGGCGCAGGCGGGCGCGCGCAAAATCTACGCGGTGGAAGCCAGCACCATGGCCCAGCACGCCGAGGTGAGCCGGGGGGCTCCCAGCGCCTGCTGGGGGGCTCCCCACGCCCCTCCTGGGGACTCGGGGCATCACCCGGGCCTCCAGAGCCACCCAGACACCCCCGGGGGGCTCGGAGGCTGTCAGAAGTGCCTGGTGGCTTTGGTGCTTGTAAAGAAATGAGAGCTGAGGGTGGGGAGGTGAGAGAATTTCAGGTTTGGATGGTGAGGGGATGATGGTCACTGGCTGAAATGTAGATTTTAACTGTGCAGGGGGGATTTGAGGGTTGTAAAGGGATTTTGGGATCCTGCACAGGGGGTCAGGAGTGCCAGGATGGATTTTGGGATCCTGGATGGATTTTGGAATCCTTTTCCTTGGGGTCAGGAGTGCCAGGATGGATTTTGGGATCCTGAAAATGGGGTCAGGAGTGCCAGGATGGATTTTGGGATCCTGGATGGATTTTGGAATCCCCTTCCTTGGGGTCAGGAGTGCCAGGATGGATTTTGGGATCCTCTACACGGGGTCAGGAGTGCCAGGATGGATTTTGGGATCCTGCACACGGGGTCAGGAGTGCCAGGATGGATTTTGGGATCCTCTACACGGGGTCAGGAGTGCCAAGGTGGATTTTGGAATCCTTTTCCTTGGGGTCAGGAGTGCCAGGATGGATTTTGGAATCCTGAAAATGGGATCAGGAGTGCCAGGATGGATTTTGGGATCCTGCACGGGGGGTCAGGAGTGCCAGGATGGATTTTGGGATCCTGCACACGGGGTCAGGAGTCCCAGGTTTAGGGATTTGGGCGTGCCCTGTCCTCCTTTCTCCTCCCTGGCCTCCATGTCCAGGACGGTGTTGGCACGTGTGGGTTGGTTCATGGTGAAGGAGTGAAAAGTATTGAAAATAGAAGGTAAATTTCTGTAGTTTTCACTATAAAAGAGACTAAAAGAGACAACTGCCCTGTGGGTGGGGGAGAGTGCTTTGGGCTGGGCTGGACAGACAGAAAAACTCTGCAGGTAAAGCACAACAAACCCAAGTGAACACCGGGATCTCCAGAATCCAGACTCCTCCTTCAGACCCCGGCCCCGCTGGGGCAGGGCCGAGTGCCAGCCCCCCCCGACACCCCTGCCCCCCATCCTGCCCCCCGTTTTCCAGGTGCTGGTGAAGAGCAACAACCTGACGGAGCGGATCGTGGTGATCCCGGGCAAGGTGGAGGAGGTGTCGCTGCCCGAGCAGGTGGACATCATCATCTCCGAGCCCATGGGCTACATGCTCTTCAACGAGCGCATGCTCGAGAGCTACCTGCACGCCAAGAAGTACCTGAAGCCCAGTGGTGAGGGCTCTGGGGGTGCCCCGGGGGTCCCGGGGGCGCAGGGACCCCCCGGGCTCCAAGGGTGTGCTTGCCCCCAGGGAACATGTTCCCCACGATCGGGGACGTGCACCTGGCGCCCTTCACGGACGAGCAGCTCTACATGGAGCAGTTCACCAAGGCCAACTTCTGGTGAGCTGCAGGGCCCTGCTGCCGCTCCCAGCCCCATTCCCAGCCCCTGCTCCCAGTTCCTGTTCCCAGCCCCAATTCCTGTTCCCATTCCCAGCCCCTGTTCCCAGTCCCATTCCCAGCCCCATTCCCAGCCCCTGCTCCCAGTCCCAGTCCCGTTCCCAGCCCCGTTCCCAGTCCCAGCCCCTGCTCCCAGTTCAGTTCCCAGTCCCTGTTCCTCTTCCCAGTCCTTGTTCCCAGTTCCCACTCCCTGTTCCTAGTCCCCATTCCCATCCCTATTCCCAATCCCCATTCCCAGTCCCCATTCCCATTCCCATCCCACTCCCCATTCCCAGTCCCCATCCCAGTTCCCGTTCCCATTCCCAGTTCCCCATCCCAGTCCCCATTCCCATTCCCCATTCCCATTCCCCATTCCCAGTCCCTATCCCCACTCCCATTCCCAGTTCCCAGTTCCCCGTTCCCATCCCGGTTCCCGTCCCCAGTTCCCATCCCCATCCCAGTCCCGTTCCCATCCCTGTTCCCGTTCCCAGTCCCAGTTCCCATTCCCCATTCCCAGTCCCATCCCAGTCCCATTCCCAGTCCCCATTCCCAGTTTCCCAGTTTCCCAGTCCCGTTCCCATCCCAGTTCCCATTCCCAGTCCCACTCCCAGTCCCCATTCCCAGTTTCCCAGTTTCCCAGTCCCGTTCCTATCCCGGTTCCCATTCCCAGTCCCCATTCCCCATCCCAGTCCCGTTCCCATCCCAGTTCCCAGTCCCTATTCCCAGTTTCCCATTCCCAGTTTCCCAGTTTCCCGTTCCCATCCCAGTTCCCATTCCCAGTCCCACTCCCAGTCCCCATTCCCAGTTTCCCAGTCCCGTTCCCATCCCGGTTCCCATTCCCAGTCCCCATCCCCATCCCCATCCCCATCCCGTTCCCGTTCCCATCCCGGTGTCCCCGTCCCCATTCCCGTTCCCATCCCAGTCCCCATTCCCAGTTTCCCATTCCCGTTCCCATCCCAGTTCCCAGTCCCCATTCCCATTCCCATTCCCGTTCCCATCCCGGTTCCCATTCCCAGTCCCCATTCCCAGTTCCCAGTTTCCCGTTCCCGTTCCCATCCCGGTGTCCCCGCAGGTACCAGCCCTCCTTCCACGGCGTCGATCTCTCAGCGCTGCGCGGGGCGGCCGTGGACGAGTACTTCAGGCAGCCCGTGGTGGTGAGGGGGCTCTGGGGGGGCTCTGGGGGGGCTCTGGGGGGCTCTGGGCCATCCCGGGGGTCCCAACCCCGCGCCCACCCCCCTTTTCCCAGGACACCTTCGACATCCGGATCCTCATGGCCAAATCCGTCAAGTACACCGTCAACTTCTTGGAAGCCAAGGAGGGCGACTTGCACAGGTGAGGGGCGCCCGGGGGGACCCGGGTGGGGGTCTCGGGGGTCTCCCCCACCCCCCACTAATCCCCTTTGCCCCCCAGGATAGAAATCCCCTTCAAGTTCCACATGCTGCACTCGGGGCTGGTGCACGGCCTGGCCTTCTGGTTCGACGTGGCCTTCATCGGCTCCATGTAGGTGCTGGGGAGGGGGCTGCGGGGGTCCCGGGGG